TTTATGGCTTTTAAAATTACAAGTTTCTTGAGGTTCTAGAATTTTGTTTTCTAATATTTCTGATAATAGCATTTTTTTCTCATTTTTTTTCTTTTTGCATTTAAAATAAAATTGGAAAATATTTAAAATGCTTCATCAGGACGAAATCAGAGTGATGAACATCCACGAATAAAATTTATCATTGATTTAATTATTCCTACTACTACCACCACCAAATTTTACATACAATCCTGCAATGATTTCACTGAAAAGTTGAGTTGTCAAACCAATTTTTTAACTTACTAATTTCACATGAGGTAAGTCTGGAAAGTACTAGCTGTGCATCCTTGATGTAAACTTAGAAACAAATCAAATGAAACCTTAATGCACATGAGTAAAGTCTCCTATTGGGTTACTTAACAGTAAAATGTCATTAGAGTAGTGTTACTGTTGCATTCAATAATATACATTTTGCTTGAAATTGAGACATTCATCCTTGGAAACTATTAAAATAATTAACAAGGTTTTGGGAGTGATTTAATGAATAGAGTTTAGCTAAAATCTTGGTACCAACATGTCAAACTTGGCCAAGAAACTGCTGAAAGTTATCAATGTTTTGAAAGACCACCGGAAAATGTTGAACATATACAGGATGCTATCAAAAGAAATTGGCAAGTGACAGTACAAGAACTAAAAGATCTTGAGATTCCAGGAACTGTTCATAAAATATCCAGCCATTTTGAATATCTTGTTTGATCATTCTTCATATTTTGTTTAGTCAAAAATCTCCATACATCACTTCATCATGACCTAATAGATTTCCCAAAGCTAAAAATCACCACTGAATGCCAAGATATTTCAGACTATAGATTAAATTGGGACCCTTTGAAGAATGTCTTGGAAAGTGAAAAGTACTCTGGAATCCCAAAGAAGTTGTAATCTCTCTTCACTTGATCTGCCTTCAAATTAACTGGTAATCAAACTCTCCATATGTGTTTATGTCAATTCTATATTCTTTCCTTCTCAAAAGGCAGCTTATTCAGAAAATCAGTAGAAAGTGTTACTCAACTGATGCAGTAGGTCTTCTGCTGTCATGCAACTATTTTAAGGAAGAAAGGTGGTGGTGGGGAGCAACTAATTTGAGTTACTATAAAGTTTATTCATTGATGTAATTCTCCAATATTCACTTAGGATAGTAAATGTGGCATCTCTTTAAAGATGCCATATTCCTCTACCTTAATTGCACATTTGCATTCCACAGGCTGGTAGAATGCTGACTGATTTTGAGAAGCTATCTTCACTTTTATTAGAATTCTAAACAAAAATCATAATTTGTGTCTTCTCAATTGCCAACACATTGTAACCCCCAGCATGCTTAGTATTTTGATTGGTGTGACTCTAAAGTTACTCTGTTCCATATCAAACTTGACATTGAGACAGCAGTCACAACATTTCATTCAGCTGTTTTTTGTTTTTGATTTTTTTTTTTTTTATAAACTATAGAGGTTAATGATTTTCTTTATTGGTTGATGAATACTTCCTTCAACATAATCCCAAAATATTGTAATTATCTCCTTATATGGATAAGAAATATTCCTTTAAATTGGAAATGAATTACATCTCCCAATCCCTATACTTGTTTCACTTTTGACATTTCTCTGTATTAAGTCTCTCAAATTAGTGTTTATTTTTATTTTAAGTGTCAGGTAGGCACCCATGGGATTGGGTAAAGTGTAAGAGTTTTTACCAGAATAATTTTCTAGTTAAATATTTAACCAGTTCAACTGCACACTTTTCTACTGCTGAATTGTAATATCTAACAAGTTGGAGGATGATTTCTGTCATGCTACAGATTACTTTGAAGAGGACTAAAGTGCTATTGCTCTGAGTAGGATACTTTTATTTTGTTAATATTAAATGTTCAGGTAATTTCCAGACAAAATTTGCATATGCTAAAATCAGTAGTCAAATCAATGTTGTATCATCAATGACAGAGAGAGAAAAAAAAAAAGAGATCTGACTTAAGTCATAAATCATCCACTGTAAGAAATAATTTCAATTTGTAAACAAATCGAGTTTCAAGCTTAGAGTATTTGACAAACTTTTACATTTTGCTATTCAATATGCAAATTGGCAAGATAACTTGGATACACATCATGATAAATACCATGTTAGCCACCAATAAGTCATTATATGCAAAATTTTAAGAATACAAAACCATAAAGAATGGTCTTACCAACTTCAGGAAGAAGACAAAGTGCCTGATAATAGAAGCGCTCAGCAGTACTGTTACTGAGACTGTGGTCAAAGTCTTGTTGATATCGAGCTGAAAACAAGAATACCAATTTTCTTTAATTATTATACAAACTACATTCAAGCAAACAAACTGAAACGAATTTGGGCAGAATAATAATTAATAATGAATTATTAAACAGACTGCCAACACTAAACAATGACACACAGCTTTCAAATAACATTAACATAATGGCAGAATGGATCAACGTCTTTACATTTATAATAGAAAATAAAATTAAAACGTTATTTAGTTAAAAGATTATATGTCATCAAACTAGTCTTAAGTAAAGATAAAATCATAAATTCAGCTTTTGGATGCAATGAAAAATGGTTAAAATCTATATAATGCACAACAAACAAAAACAGTGAGTGTGATTCAGTTGACAGTTTGTTGAAGAAATCAAAGACTTAGGTATCCAAACATCTGAATATTAAATCTCATTCATATGCCAGAAGAAAAATTCAACTCCCTAAGGAATTTTCACAGCAATGTCTCCATGGATGATATTGGGGGAAGAAACAACAAATTAATACATAAAGTATAAAGGTAACTATTGATTGTATTTGTTGATGAATTTTCAGTTGTACAGTGAAATCATCAATTTTATTTCCATGCAGTTTTGTGTGGTTTAACTAAAACTAAACTGATTTTCTTAACAAGATGCACTGATCAAATGTAGCAGGTAGGTGGCAGACAAATACAAAATCAACCATTATGTTAATGCATTCTGTGAAAATGGACATTGTTTTGGTATAATATGAAAGATATTTTGCAAGTAACACTTCCTGAAGCACTGACAACAGATCTTTAATGTATCACATGGAATAATATTTATCCAATTTTTTAAAATTTGTTTTTGCCATTTCTTGCCTTGGTTTTAGATTCATAGCAACTGGAAATTGGAACCAATTCTTCATCTAGCATAAGGAATTTGAATACAATCTGATATAGAGGTTCACTTGTCCTCACTTCTTGATTAAAATACCAAACAATATCAAAGTAAAGCTGTAAGAGTGTATTAAATCAATAGTTAGTTTAATTAAAGGTTGTGTTTGTGTGTAAGCAGATAGACAAGTTGAAGTAGAATTCTTGACAATTTATGTCTGTGGCATCTGTCAGTTTCAAGAAACTATGGATCTGCACGTGCATAGTTTTGATTCAGCTTCTGTTTTACTGCCACAGTGAGATGACATTGCATCCTGCAAAAGACCTTTCAGACTTGAACAGGATTTTTATAGGAGATCAACAGTTGCCCATGCAGCATATCTCTTCTCCAATCCATCAATGTTGTCCAATAAGCACTGGACAGGAACCAATACTGCTTAACACAGTTATTGTTATAGGAGTTGCCAGAATGCAGTTGGATGCAACAGACAGTTTTTGGGACGCTAGCTCCAGATCTTTCTTTAGTAAACTCTTTAACATGATCATTTAGAATCCTTTTTCTGTCTCTTAGTCATCAACCTAGTATGGCAGTTCATCTATCTACTGGAATAGCTTTTGCATATATTTATTAAGAAATTGCTGAATAGTTTGTCAGTTCAGAAGATCATCTCACAAACAAGTTTGTTTCTTATGTTAAAGAGATCAAAAAGTGTCAGAAAACAAAACATGTTTTTGAATAAGGACTTTTTTTTTATAAAACTTTATTCAGATATATAAAATCTAAAATAGAAAAAGCAATGAAGTTCACTAAAAGATTTTATGATGAACTTCAGATCATAAAATCTGTTATCTACCTTCGTTCCTAGCTAAATTTTACTAACCACAAAATTTACTACTTAATCATTATATTATTTATCTAAGTCTCTTAAGATGAGCCTGACATGTGGTGCCCTAAAAGTAATAAACATTTGTTTCCTGGCAAATGGCATAATACTGGAATAAACACAATGAAGAATTACAATGTCAGTCATACAGTGTAATTAATTTCAATTCAATAAAATATCATGTCAATGAAAATGAATCAACCAAAATACAAGGGGTTGCTGAAATGTTCTCGGCCCCACCCACTTCCCAAAAATCTGACCAAATGACACCAGCATCCCCACCCCCGGATCCAAACCCTTGGAAACATTTAAGAAGAGCCAACATCTTTAGTATCCTGATTTTGATTGATACAATATCTCATTGTGTTTTTATGTTGTTAAAACCTTTCTGTTATCAAAAGGGATGTAGCCCATCCTAGTGAGAGAAGACATTAAAAGGCATCAAGAAAAGAATCACCCAGTATTAAGTATATGAAGAAAATAGTTGTATTAGTAACATCCAAAGAAATTAGGAACCATTCTACTTACCAATATCTCCCAGGTAAACAAGACACCGATGACAGGCTCCTAATGCCCATTCTTGAACGTTAGGATTAACATCTTTTTTCTTTGAATTGTGGATTTGACCTTTCTTACCTGAGAAAAGAATAAAAACATCCTTATAAATATATTGCTGTACATAAGACATATTTCTTAACTATTAAAAACACAAAATAAGTTATGTAACATTCAAAACAAGCTGTTTAGATATATAAAAAAGGCAAAGGAAAAACATTTTCAATATTAGAATGATATTGCACTGAATTTGCATGTAGTCAATATCTGTTCATATTAATATTATCAATCATATTGAATTTTTAGACAAGAACAATGTCAAAATAAAATTTCAGTTAGAAAAAAATGGTTTTGAGCCATTTTCACAAAGAGAATGTTAATTCTCATAAATATATAAGCTACTAGAAGTTTATTAATGCAGGGCTTATTACAGAAGCAAGCTAATAATTTGACAAAGATGCATATAGCAATGAAAGAGTTGAACAGCTATGAATTTAAATTTTTTTCTTAAAATTTATATTCATGGCTGTTCAACTCTTTTTTAATCTTCTGGCATTAAAAAAAAAAAAAAAAAAAAAAAAAAGAGATTCACCTCTTCTAGAAATCTCATAGAAAACAAAAGGCTTTAAAAAAAAAAAAAAAAAAAAAAAAAAAGAACACACAGGATGCCATAGAATGCACAATATTTTGAAATACTAAATGTCAAGACTAAAAATATATAACATTTTTCAATAAAGAAATAAATGTAAATGCAACCCTAAAGAAAATTTTAAATTCAAATTTCATATTAGGTTATTATGATTTATTAATATTTCTCCTTCAAATCAACTATATTCTATTAATGAACTCAATGCCAAGTACGAAATGATAATTTTAAAATAAATTAAACCAGTCAATTTCTAGTCAATTATTTTTTTAATATGAATTACCTAAAATTAGGAGCTCACAAGAATCCATCAATTATAGCAACTAATTTAAAATCATTTGTACACATTGAAATAATATAAAAATAAGAATTTTTGTTGTGTTCTGACTTTTCTGAAGCAAAAACAAGTTTATTTCTTTACATTAAAATTTACTTGTATATAAATCAGAATTTAATGAACACAGATATCACTTATTTTATTATATATTATTAAACAATTTTTATCCTAACATCCCATCTCCAGTCCATATTTACCTGTAGAATGATCTGGGACTACAGGAAAGTCTAACTTGCCATCCAATTGGAGGCTGAATTCTGTCTGCAAACGAAGAAGCAAGTGGTAATAATATCCAGTTGCAGCAGCAAGGTGAGTACGGAATGCTGTCTCAAGAGACCCATGGGGTCGAATATGCTGAAAGATGAAACAAAAGGATTAAAAACAAATAAATATTCAACTTGCAAGAGTTTTTAAACAATAAATCTCATACTTAATGAACTTTTGATAAAATGAAATTGAAATATTACTTTAAACCATTTTGTTTATGCCATCAAAACAATAGAAAATAGCTATCAAACAATGGATATTGGTAAAACTGTCTGGATATAAAAATGTGAATTTCAATTTATATATTTATTTATTTTTATTAGAAATATTTATAAGTTATTTAGTGATGCAAGACTTTATTAGTTAAGTTGTAAGTTGTAAATATATGTATTAGTTATTAATAATTTTTAAATTTTAGAGACAAAGACTTCCAGGAGCATCACAGCAAAATGTCCATATTCAATGCTGAGGTGTCCTTAAAAAACAAGCCATGTTCACAGCAATTTTTGCCTTCAACTTTAAAAAAAAAAAAAAAAAAAATTTTTTTTTTTTTTTTTTTTAAAGAAAAAAAAAAAAAAAAAAAGTGAAAGAGAAAATGAGAAATTAACTCATTTTATCATTGCAAAATCTTTTTTGGAATTCAAAACAATGCACAATAATTGAAACCTGAAAATATGTATGTTGCATGCATGATGGTTTCATTTTCCACCAAAGCAAGACATCTACAAGATACCATACCAAAATGCCAAAACACACTAGAAGATTTGCTGAACTATCAAGAGGCTAAAAAGTGCAAGACTTTGGAAGCCTTTTTCAAACAAACAAGGTAAGTTTTCTCCCTATTTTTATGAAGTTGTTGCGGGAGTGCTGGTCAAGTTTAAGTTGGAAAAGTATGTGTCTCCTGGTAGTTTTATCCCACAACAGAAATGGTGGACTCGGAATGTGAGTCCGAGTAATAAAATAGAAAACTAACAACAAAACAATATATGTAAACAAACAATAATGTATGTATTAACAAAACAAAGGTATATATGGAGATTGGTGTGTGACAAAGCAATGAATATGAAAGAAGAAAACTAGTGAATTGTTTGAGTGTGTGAGCATTGTGTAGAATTGTAACAAGCATGTAATGTGTGTGTGTGTGTGTATATATATATATATATATATATATATATATATGCGTGTGTGTGTGAGGGAGAGTTCAAAAGCCAACTTGCCGCAGCAGAAGTGTTCTTATCTACATGTGACCTACATCCGAAAGCTGAATAAAAATAATGGAAAGTTAGTTCAAAGTCAACAGAGGACCAAGGGAAGTGAACACACCTGAGAGGCAGCATTCTTATCTACATGCAACCTATATCTTACTGTCCCTGGGTGAAATAGGAAAAAGAGAATGACAGAGAATGTCACTGCCTATTTATAGGTTAAGAAAGCATCCTCTAGCAACGTTTTTTGTTTTTTTTTTTTTTTAGGAAAGTTAAGTGGAGTAACTCACAAACTTTAAAACTTTACAAGAAAACATTTTTAGGTCAACCAATTTTCCATGATCTTTGAATAATCGTAATTCTGAAACAGAATCTGTTTCTTCATAAAATTTCAATAATAAATTAAGAACTATTTGATTTTTTTTTTTTTCTTTTAATCTTTAAAACTTAATTGTCTCGGTCATTTTTCTATTAAAATATAATGCTCTTTGAATTTGTTTTCCTTTTTGCAACATGAAAATTAAGAATGAAAAATGTTATGTTTTTCGTAATAACATGGTTACATAGACTCAAAAAACCATTTGACTGGGTATATATGGTAGCCAAAGAAGAGCTACCATTTTTCTGTTTTTTCTTGTCCAAACAGAGATAAAGCATGGCAGTGAAATGGGAAAAGTATATATTACTAGACATTACTATGCTGAATTTGTTCATGCAATTGGAGAAACCAAAGATGACATAAGAAACAACATTCAAAAAAGTCCATTTCATTACAGCATTTTATTTGATGAAAGTATTGACACAACTTTAAAGGAGAGACAAATTATCTTGATAAAATTTCTTAAAAACAACAAACATGAAACTAAATTTCTAGCATTGTGTGAGCCATCTTCAAGCCAATCCAAAGACATCAAAGAGTCCCAAAGAAAAAAAAGCTGAAGGAGTATATATAAAATTAGATGAAATGTGCATGATTTTTGCTGCAATAAATTTGGCCATTAAGGGAGTGTGATAATTACTTTTAAAAAGGATATGCCATGGCTGATAAATATTCATTGCCTTGCTCATAGACTCAAACTTGCAGTGAAAGATTCTTTCTCCAGATCTTATTTTCCAAAAACAATTGATGATTTACTTATTCAACTGTTTAAGAGATCCCCAAACAAGTGGAATGAACTCAGAAAAATTGCAGAGGTAATGGGGGAATAGAATTAATGTCAACAGCTTTTTTCTAATGAACTGCATTCCTTTAGATCATTTAAAGTGAATATCATTTTTGATAATTATTAAAACAGGTGTATTTGCAACTATTTTTTTCTCACTTAGAATTTTTTTTTTTAAATTTTAATACATACATTTATTTTTAAAACTTTCCATTTTCCTTCATTTTTAACTAGAACATTTTCAAATTGGAGATCAAAATTAAATTATGACATTGCTACATGTACAATGTTTGATTTGTCACATTATTGAAATGGCTGAAAAAAAAAAAAAAATTCATTTTTTTTTTTTTATTATTATTTCAATGTTGACCTTTAAGATAATATGCTTTTTTCTAGCAAGTGCTAATTTTTTTTGTTTCAATAGTTATTTTGATTTTATGCTGAAAAGCTTTATATTTTTATACATTATTTCAACAATCTAATTCTTTCCACAACATATTCTAAGCTAATAATAAAGTTTGATTTCATTTTTGAAAATTTTCCACAGCAATGTATTATTACTAATAATTCTAGTCATCATAATCAACATTATTCACCAATAAAAATATTTGATTTGAAAGCTTTTAGTTTATTTTTATCAATTTTTTTTAAGATTTTACATTAATATTACTTTTTACAAATAAAAACAAATTTTACAAGTTCTAAAAAAATTGATGTGGTGCCTTAATTTTTAAGTGGTCTACCAAGACAATTTTTGCCTGCCCCCCTATATTAAACTAAACTCATCTCTGCAGGAGTCATAAGAGATGAGCTCAAAAGAAAAACAAGATAGTGTTAAGTTATTGAGTCAGAGGAACACAATGTTGGACACTGCAAAAGAAAATTAAAGTTAACTGCTGTAAGTTTATATTGTGTGTTTTCTATGCTGTAAGAAAATTCAATAAAGTGAAATTAAACAATGTGAGTATGAATAAAAACAATATAAAATTACTGTAAAAAATACTCTATAGAAAAAAAAATTAAACAACACAGTCAAAAAAAAAAAAAAGAAAAAAATTTAAAAATGTGTAAAAATTGTTTTAAAAACCCAAATACTCAAAAAATTTTTTTAAAAAAGCCCAAATACTCTATAAAAAAAAAAAATAAAATAAAATAAATACAAAACAAATACTCTAAAAAATTTGTAAAAACCCAAATACTCTAAAAAATTAAAATACTTTGTTATATAAATTCAATTTCTGGTTTCAAATCCCTTCATAAACACTTTTGTACTAAAGAGATTCTCCAATTTTTTTAAAATCTTCAATATATTAAACTCATTTTAAAAAAATTCATAAGATTAGCGTTCAGTCATTAAATTGCTATATTGAAACATTTCCCTTTTTTAAATATGGATGCACATATAAATAAAAATAAAAGAGGTCTATCGGTTATCCCCCTTACATCCGTGCAGACGTTTGGTACGAGTTGTGTATCTTACATTTGATATAACTTGAAATTGACAACTTTTTTCTTATGCAAAACATACTTTTTTTTTTTTTTTTAAATAATTGCAACATATAAATGTTAATTTGTACATACTATCGCAACAGTGTGTGCGTGTGTGTGTATATATATATATATATATATATATATATATATATATATATAAGAAATGGACAATGTCCGACAATTTATTTATTAAAGACATTTTTATGTTTAACGTTCTTTTTTATAGATACAAGTATTTAAGTAAATGCTCTGTTTATAATAAACAGTATTAATAACATTTAACGTCTGAATGTCCGAGAAATTTTCATAGAAAATATTCGTCCTTTGACATGTCTTTAATAAATACATTGTCGGACTTTGTCCATTTCTTAATATATGACGTCATTTGTTTACATTTGATATGCCAGAGCAGTTATGAATGTACGAGATTCATGGAAGATTGAAGTTTATAAGCAGTCAATTCGACCTTGCCTACCGAACGCTCCTTTGTGGCTGAGTCGGTTAAGGCACGTCAGTGTAAATGACGGTTCCGTATAGGATGCAGGTTCGAATCCTGCCAAAGGACGAATATTTTCTATGAAAATTTCTCGGATATTCAGGCCGGTAAATGTTATTTAATACTGTTTATTATAAACAGAGCATTTACTTAAATACTTGTATCTATAAAAAAGAACGTTAAACATAAAAATGTCTTTTATATATATATATATATATATATATATGATAGTAAAGAGAGATTGTCCACATATCCTGTAGATTTAGTAGGTGAATGAAAAATTTGAGCGATAATAAACAAAACAATAATGATAATAAAAATAATATTTATTGTATATTAGGCTTTTAGACCAAATAGAAGCAAGATGAAAAAAGATATCAATAATCTATTTGTTCTAAAAGACTAATAAATATTTTTAATATCATTATGGTTGCTTTTCAATTTTCTTTCATCAATCTGTGTGTGTGTCTGTGTATATACACTTGTGGTATAACTTATTGTATTTGTCATTCAAGTTCTTCCAAAGTCTTGGTTTGGTATAGTAAACTTGTTCCTTTAAACAATCCCAAAAGAAAAAAGTCACAGGGTGTTAAAAGCAGGACTCCTGGTGGCCACTCATACACAATATAGGGAGATACTTTTCAATCACCCTGTAGATGGGCAAATGGTATCCTAAGTTATTACTGCTCTACAATTTTTAAAATGATGAAAAATTGTCCTAGGATTATTTTAGAAATAAATACCAAACATTAAGTAATGGAATGGCATTAAATTAAGTGTTGAGAGATTTTACATAAAGAAATTGTTTAACATAGAAAATTACAATTAACAAGGAGCAGCACTAGTGACTAAAATTGTTAATGTGTTGGTTGCCTCAAACATTTGCTCAAATCATGCAACAATAAATCAAACATAGATATTGATAATATATAGGAACTACTGATCAGAAACAAAATACAATGCGATATAGATTTCAAGGGACATGAATTTCCCCAACAGAACAAGATTCAACCTTTAAAAAATAAAACAGGGATCTAAAGAAGCCACCTAAGTGTACAGTGATTGATATGTCACACCAAGAAAGCAATGAAAGACAATGGAAATAGTCTTAAAGTTTAAAAAAAAAAAAAAAAAATTCAAGAAAAATACTATATGCAGCCATAAGCAAACAAATTATATGGTGTTAAAAAATATATTATCAATGCTTTGGTAGACATTCAACCAAAACATAAAGGTCTGAAGACAGTAATGTTCTATTCAAACATATGTCCTTAACACATTTTGATGAAGAACTGGCTATAAATTCAATGAACTATCTTCAATGATTTCAACATTTCTCATTTTTCTCTTGTACATATTTTCTTTGGTTTACTGTTGTACTATCAAAATTTCTCCTCAAAATGAAAGCCACAGACCCTACTGGTGTATACCAATGTGCATAAACACACAAGCTAAATTTAGTACTAGCTGAGGGAAAAATTAACTCATGCTGACAAATTAATTTTTCCTAAATTCCTATTTGAATTACAATTAGGGGGTGCAGAAAAGTTCCTGACCCAACTCAGAAGGGATTCAAGAGAAAAAATAAAATAAAAAATAAATCTGATGTTTGGTCAAATTCTGAGAAATAGTTCATACAGAACTTTTCAGCAGTGTTCATAAATGAATATAAGTAGCCTGTTAACTTGAAGAACCAATATGGTTAAAAATACAACACACAAGACTTCTGATAACTGAATAACTTATGCTTTGAGCATGACTCAATGAGAACAAAAAACAATCTTACCCGTTTGTTTCTCTTTACCAATTGTATAATGTCATAGAAAACTTTCCGCCAAAGTACCTCTTCTGCCTTTCGGCCATAGTCAATGGGATTGTAGAACATCAAACGTTCACAATAATATTTCAACCTGTCATAAACAATACAAGAACAATTGTTAACTTTAACATGCTATTAAAAAAAAATTAAAAATTAAAAATTTTCTTTAGAAGGTGTTATGACTTAACGGTAGCCAGATAAAATATTTATAAACATTGCTGAGAAAAAAAAAAACTAAGCTGGATGATCAAATAAACAGGTAAAAATGATTATACACTTCAAAGAAAGATTTAGAAAAGATTGAAGAAAGAGTGCAGTTTTTGGATAATTAATAACTTTATATACATATAACTTTATAATAAATACACATATACCAAAAATAATTAAATCATACTCTGAGCTGTAGTAACACCATTTGCTAGCACAAAATCAGTCATTAACATGACTTGCTGCTTCTGTGATACATAGATCCCTAAGGAGAGCTAAGATCTTTCAAAAATCTAAGAATAGTGAATACATTGATGACCCTTAAAGAAAAGGGTTAAGAGTTATCCTTCTAACAGTCTTGTAAAAACAAAAATGATACTACAATAATATAAAGAACTATTTTTCACATAATGCTATTTTATATGTAATGAAGACAAAGCAGAGAAGTCAAAACAAAATTTCAATTTCAGTTTTAGAATGATCATTTTCCTAAATAACTTGTTAATAAATTTACTTTAAACAAAAGAAAAATATTTTAAAATTACTTTATAGATATAAATATTGTACATATTAAAAATAACTTAGTTTTTAGGTTGACCATAAAGTTACTTCTATTTTTGTTGAATTACATCATAAGCATTTACTTTTGACTATAGTTATTATTTCAGTAATCTTATTGATCTCATAATCATGTAAGGATGACAATATCTATTAAAATTCCCATCTGATCCAGCTGCTTTGTTTCTGTTCATATTGGCCAATACTGATCATACATCAGATTTAAACACAACAGGTCCTTCTATTTTTAGACATTGTAGGTTTTTGCTCCTCTGTTGTCCTGGAAGAAGTCCCATATGTATTCACATTCCATCTATGTAATATTTCTTTATTATGAATATTTCCTTAGATTTTATGCATCCTATTGAAGAGCATGTTTTCTCTCCTGTCATTTCTTTTATTTGTCTCCGATGCTATAATTCAACAATTTCATTTTGCCTCTTTTCCTTTGCAGTAACCTCTTTTGTCGTTGTCAATTGTACTTTTCTTGTTGCACTTTGAGTTTCTGACTTATTCTGAAGTTTTATATTTATCTTTAACTACATTAATATATGTATGCAACCCACACACACACACTCCTCTCTGACTTTCTAACTCAGCTCTGTCCTTACTATTTCTCAGTTGTTAGCTCCACTAGCTTTGTTGAGTAATAATGACTTAAGGCTCATCTGGCTTTCTTTTCCCTCTTTGATTGGGGCAGGTGTGTTGTCACTCGATAGGGTCGATTAGGGTTTACCAAAATCTCATGATATTGGGATTAAAAGCAAAGTCTAGTGCAGACTCCTCTATGTACATTGTGTACCACATACAAGATTCTATAATTCCTGTCTGTTGCCATGGTAACCTTTGCCTCTCGGTATATATATATATATATATATATATATATATATATATCTCACACATTTAAATTTTCATATATATATATCTCACACATTTAAATTTTCATATATATATATATATATATATATATATATATATATATATATATATATATATATCACACATTTAAATTCATATATATATATATATATATATATATATATATCTCTCACACATTTAAATTTTCATATATATATATATCACACATTTAAATTTTCATATATATATATATATATATATATATATATATATATATATAATTTTTGAAATATGACTAAAAATTTAAACAAATAAAATTTATTTATTAAATTTTATTTGCTTTATTAAATAAAAATATTTTTTTTCAAAAAATTTGACATTAATTTTGTTAAAAGTCATTCATCAATTTGTTCACTATTTCTGTTATATTTCAGGCAACTGAAGTTATCACCAAAGAATCAAAAAACTACAACTAAAATTTATATTTGGTGGTGGTTCACTTCACTTGCCTTGTGATATTGTTCATTCTGTTTTGTAAAATATTATTATCATTATGAAAAACTTAAATGCAGAAAGTTGAAAAGAGACAAGTAGTTGGCAAGTATGAACTTAGTTTGTACAATGAACACTGAAAAGTGGCCCAGTAGTGCACAGCAAATGACCAAGTAATAGCATAGTTTGTTTCATGCTAGATGCAATCATCAGACTGCAAGTGTTGGATTTTTCTCGACTATTTATATATATATATATAGGTCAGTGGTGCATTGTGGGTAATCGATTCTGGTGGTTATTTTGGTAGGAGTGGATTGCTTATTTATTTATTTGGGTTAATTTGTTTTACTTTTTTTATTTTCATTTTTTATTTTATATAATTTATTTATTCTTTCCCGTTTTCGATGTTTTATTAATGTAGTAAAAAATGGTGGGGGGGGATTTGTTTAGGTCATCTATTTAATAGTTTTTTTTGATCTGGGAAGATAAAGCTATTTATTCGTCCAATTTTTGGATAGATTGCCGTAGTCTATTCTGCCATTTTGGCAGGGGATAATTTTTAATTTGTTTATTATTTTATTTATTTATTTATTTGGATTGATTACTTTTACTTGTTTTTGCTTATTTATGCTTATTTTTATTAGTTCTAACGGTTATTTTAGCAGGAGTGATTTGTTAATTTATTTATTTATCTAGATTAATTTTTGTTTATTTTTTATTTTGTATATTTTTATTTAATCTATTCGGTTTTCGATTTTTTTTTTTATCGTTATATTGCAGTTATAGCTACTTTCTCGTCCAATTGTTGAATTGATTGTTATTGTCCATTCTAATGTTTATTGGTTTGTTAATTTGTTTATTGTTTACTTTATTTATTTTATTATTTTTACTTGTATTTTATGTATTTATTTTTATTTGTTCTATTTCATCTATTCTAACGGGTGTGGTTTGTTAATTTATTTATTATTTGCTTGGGTTAATTTATTTTACTTGTTTTTTATATTATTTTATTTATTTTTGTTTTTATTCTTTTCAGTTTTTGATTTTTAAGTAACGTAGTAAAAATTTGTTTTCATGTTTGCATTTTGCGATGAGCTCAGATCGTTTATTTAGTAATTTATTTTGGTCTGGGAAGATAATAACAGCTATTTTTCCCTCCAGGTAAAGTTTGCAGGTTTTGGATTGATTGTTATAGGCTGATGATCTTTTCCTTATTTGCCATGATATTTTTGGTGTGATTTGCGTTTTGTTTAAACAAATGTCATTTGTCTTAGCTTCATTAAACATGGTTAAGAAAAACTATGAAACAGCCCTAATAGATAGTGGATTCCCGGCAACACTCACATACTCACCACAGAGCACAGAAAAAGCCAACAGGAAGAAAATATATGGTTCAACCCCCGTACAGCAAAAATGTAAAAACAAACGTAGGTAAAATATTTTTCAAACTCTTAAACACTTCCCAGAATTGAGCACTCTACCCAAAATATTCAGTACAAACACTGTAAAAATCAGCTATAGTTGCACTGAGAACATGGCACAAATAATAAAAAAGTACAACAAGAAAATTATCAATAAACCACCCAAACAAATTAAACCAACATGTAACTGTAGAATAAAGAATGAATGTCCCTTAAACGGTAATTCCTTACAAATCAATGTAATATATAAAGCTACTGTAAAATCACCAGATAATGAAGAAAAAGTATATATAAGAGTAACTGAAGGACACTGGAAACAAATAAACTATGCACACAAAATATCTTTCACAAATAGTAAATACGTATATGTATATGTGGGAAATTAAAAACAAAACGCAAATCAATCCAAATAAATAAAATAAACAAATTAAAAACTGTTCCCAGCCAAAATAGGAGAATAGACTACAGCAATCTATTCAAAAATTGGATGAATAAATAGCTTTATCTTACCAGACCAAAAAAAACTATTAAATGAGCGACCTAAACAAATCCCCACAAAATTTTTTTACGTTAATAAAACATCAAAACCTGAAAAGAATATATAAAATAAAAAATGTAAATAAAAACAAGTAAAACAAATTAACCCAAATAAATAAATAAATAAGCAAGCCACTCCCACCAAAATAACCACCAGAATGGATTATCCACAATGAACCACTGACCCATATATATATATATATATATATATATATATATATATTAGTCGAGAAACATTCAACACTCGTGGCCGGACGATTGCATCTAGCATGAAACAGTTCATCTTGAAATATCTTGCAGAGACTTGGTGATCATTTAATACTTGGAGAGATTTTTGGAAAATTGTAATCTTAAGATTGAGATGACATTATAGGGCAAAATCATTCCATATTTGGTGTGGATCTGTGATATTTAGTACTGATGTCATTAATAAAAATTACACTGAAATAGATGAAAGTGGGCAAAAGGCAAATTGAGTAAAGAGAAGTGGATTAAGTTGTTTGTCAACAAAGATTATCTCAAAACAAAATATGCCTTATTTTTATCTCATTAGCCGAACAAACCTTTTGCTCAAATATTTGCACAAATATTTAGCTTCATAATTTGTGCAGGCTTTAATTCTTTCCTCACTTGGTACTAGGAACTCCATTCATATCATAATGATTAGAACATGTGCCTTGAGAAGAGTTTTCATATTTATGGGCCTGCACCAAATTTATAACAAAAATTATAAAACAGAATCTAAAAGCAATAATTTCTTTAATTTATAAATAAATTAAATCTATTTTAAATTGATAATTTTAAATAGAATAAAGTACTAGTATCAATAAAAAAAATAAAAAAAATAATAATAATTGTGAACATCACTATCATTTAATAGCACACATAATTAGAAAGAAAATAAATAACAATCAATCAGAATTCTAAGAGTGATTCATAAATGACAAAAATTGATATGTCAAAAAAATAAAATAAAATCCTGAGAGAATATTATCTCAGCATTAAATAATCATTAACAAAAACAGAAAAAAAAATATTTGTAAATTAGCAATAATTTTAAAATCAGCTTAATCAATATCAAATTCCCATTAAAAGAAATCCAATGATTCCTAGTAAGATGAGATATTGTCAGTAAAATATGTTTTGAGTAATATTTAATTTCTATGATGAATAAATATTACTTAAAATTTAACTCTTAAAATTTGTATGTATGAAATAGAGGAAAACATTTACAAATAAAATGTTATTTCCAACATCAGCAAATTCAATATTTTGGTAATCCAACAAGTAGATATTTGTTTTTCTCCTCTTTCAGCCAAATAGTGGCCCAATGGTTCAAAACAAAGAACACAAACCTATTCTTTCATTTTAAATAAATCTTTTTATAAGCCTACAGAACAAAGAGTCAATCCAAGAGTAAGAAATTCAGCTTGCTTCTTCTTGGTCATTTTTTGTTTACTTGTTTGCATGGATACAACAAAGAGAAATGTTCATGTAAGCTCTCAAACGTTAACATTAAATGGGCTAAAATAAGTTTTAAAAAGTTTATGAAAAATTTATTTTATCTATTTATTCTATGAAACATTGGCAAATGACAAGTAAGCATTTTGTTGAATTGCTACTGAAAAAAATATTTTACAAAATGTTCCCATAATAGAATTTTTTTTTTAATTTATTTAATATTTTTCAGATATTTCTATCATATTGTAAAAACTTTATGGATATAAATCTGGCAGTTGTCTTAAGATTCAAATTTTTACAAAAATCAAAAAAAGCAATTCTGATATCTTCACATTACATTTCCAAAACCAGTTTCCACCTGACTAAATGCTTTTAATTTTGAACTTAGTAGTTATTCCAAATTTGCATTCTCCTATGATTTGTTTGATATTATCAAAGTTTTTCAAAATGAAAATAAAAGATAAAAAGAGAGTAAAAATAGATATTGTTCAACCAAAATTTTTATGCTTAAGACATTTGATACATACTTGTTCCTTAACCCAACAGCATCTTGAGTAAAAACATCTCGATAGGCACGTTTCTGCTGAAGGATTTCATCGAGTCTACGAATGGCATCCAGTGCCGCCCTGTAAAGAGACGGGAAGAAAAACAAACTAATGAATTTTCATAATTTACAGTACAAGTGGCTTGAACATCATGAGTCAATAAAGACAAATATTTAGTCTATAAAATCATGTTTCTTAATATTTTGAAAAGTTAGCAATCTTTTCTGGATGATAATACTGATAAATGCTGACAAATATTAAGTCTTAAACTAATGACTTCATCAGAATATATATTTTCTATGTATTTAAGCAGCAAATGTTAAGCCAAATACTATTAAAAAACAACATTTTGCAACGATTAATAATTAATGATAGACTTTCCCCAAATTACAAATAATCATTCTCAGACAAGGAAAAAATTAATTTCAAAAGAAAAGTATAGGAAATATGGTCCAAGCTTTCAAATCAATTCATCATCAGGATAGGTAGAAATATTTGGTGAGTTCATCACATACTTCTAACAGTTTATTTTTAAAAATACCGTTGCTACACTATTTAAAAATTTTACTAAACTCACCAAATGTCTCAACCTCTCCTAATGATGACTTAAGAAATTTGAAAGCTTGGATTATATTTAATGTACTTTTGTTGCAAAAGGAACTGCAGGAAATTTGACAGAATTTCCTCCTTGTCTGAGAAGGATTAATCACAACTTAGAAAAGTCAATCATTAAAATTAATCAATTAATGATTTTGAATGCTGACTGAATTGACCCCCACCTCCAACTCATACATACCACACACACTCAACTATAGAATTATTGTATCCCTTTCATCCACCAACACTGGTTATTAGGTTATGGGTAGCTGGACATCAATGGCAGTTGTGATATTTTGTCCATTCAAAACCTTGGACTAACACATGTCACTGTGTTCTGATTTATCAAAGTCTCTCAGCTCCAACTGAAACATTCTCCAGTGGGATTCCAGTCAAATAGAGATCAGGTTCTTAGAATTTGGATTTGTAACACTCATTTCCAATACTATATAAGTATACAACATATGTAAGGGCTGACAATTTCTATTGAACAGCTAGAATCTAGCTGATTCTAAACTGAAACTTAATATTTTCAGAGCATTTGCAGACATTGGGCATTTCAAATGCTAATAAACATTCACAGTATTCAAGACAAGAAGTGTACATAAGAGAACAACCATTCATGATAGGTGAAAGTTCAGGGTTTTCTCAGTGATGCTGGAATGTTACTAGTTTAGTTTTGAAGGTATTGAATGTTACAATCCATTCCTACCCCATTGAGGTGTTAGATCTAAGGCCAGAGAAGGGATCAACTGATAGGCTCTGGTCATCTAGATTTTTGGAAGTGCATCTATACACATTTGTTTCATCTGCATAGATATTTACTTAGGATTTGATCATGTTCTTAGGCAGATCATTAATATAAAGCTGAAAAAAAAAAAAAAAAAAAGGATAGTATAGAGAAGAAAGCCATTGAGAATAGCTGCATTGATTTCATGGGCTTCAGAAGATTGGTTATTAACTATGACCTTCATGAATGTACCTGTTAGAAAGGACTTGATAATTGTGAAAACTCTTCTGAGATCATATAACTGAAGAATTTGTGTAGCAACCTCACTATACCATACCTTGTCAAAGGCCTTAGATAAGGTGACCATCCTTGTGATGAATTTATTGTTAAGTACATCACTGATTCTGTAATTAATGATAATGAGATCAGCAGCAGTAGGCCTAGAAAAGTGAAAGCCATACTGTTTATCACTCAGGAAGTTGTTCCTGTTGATCATGGATTCAAAATATTTGCTAATGACACTAAGGAGGTTAATGGGACACTATTGCAATGGAGATGAGCACTTACCCACATTCTTGAAAACAGAACATACAGCTGACACCTATAGACTTGGGAAGCATTTCTCCTTCAGGTAGTGGTTATAAACAGTTTTGCAAGGAAACTAGGTTAATGTTCTTATGAACAACCACTGGGATTTTAATCAGATTGGTAGGCTTTTTAGAATAAGGCTTTTGAGGACTCTGGAAACTTCCTGTGTCATGATAGAGATATCAAAGTTAGTGCTCCATGAGTTTGGGGAGGTTAAGTTACCATCTAACATGGAGTTAGATACAAAATTCATTGCAAAGACCCTTTCCTTATCTGGCAAGGAAGAAATAACCTCAAGGCCATTTATGATAGTAGGCATTTTTATGAATTCAGGGTATGCACCATCACTACTCCCATTCCAATTCCATAACATCTTTGCCATTTTGGAACACTTGATAAATAATGTGCTTTTTCTTTTGTGGTGGTGATGATGGGGGGGGGGTCCCCACGATCAATATTGTTATCAACACACTGGACCCTCTAGATGAAAATAAGGGTGCTGTTCTATTTGTTTTTTGGGGTTTTTTTTTATAGATGTTTGGGATGTCATACGGAAGGTTTATATGATGTCTAGGAAAAGGTTCTCATTTTGTTATTTTCCTAACAAGGTTTGAAATAATTCAGTTTTAAAGGTTTCATCAGATATATATGACTGACTTATGCATTAATACAGTTCCTCTATTAGATCATACAGATCTTTTAATAGCTTTAACTTTCATTCTAACTTGTTCTGATTATCATTTCTTTTCAGGTAAATGACAAACATCAAGCTAACTCAGCAAATGAAAAGGCATGCCATAATCATTGCCTTAAAAGTAAAGCATAGTGATTTAGAGATTGCTCATTTAATGAAAGTTGTACAATCGTTTGTTATCAAGGTTAGCAAAGAGCTGAAAGATTCTACAACAGTAGCCAAGTGTAAAATGCCTGTTAAGGATCCTAATACAATCAGAATGCTCAAATTTGTACAAAAGGTTCAGAAAAATATTGATAATAATCAATCATTATCTTCATGAATCCAAAACCATTTAGCTTTTGTTTGCATGCTAGAACACAAGCAAAAAGACAGGAATTTAGTGACTGCTCAAGATTAAAAACTGACAACTTTAAGAGTATTCATGGAAGAATGACTTGATGATCTAGACTTTGTGAGTATTTTAATATGCCTATAGTCTACTCTTCCTGACTTCTGCAACATTATTGAAATAAAAACTCAAATGTAGGAGTATTCATACTAAAAACTGATTGGAAGATACTACCAAGAATTAAGCTAAAACTCACATGATTTATTGCTAATATAAATACATTCTGAACATTTTATGAACTTCACTTGGTTTGTATCAATTTTAGTGAAAATATTGACTTGCATAATTGTTGTTGTAACAACTTTTTAAACAAATCTCATTCTTTAAATTTTTGACAATTGGAAACATTCATGGAAGTAGATTTGTTTAGAAATATATCTGATAATGCATTTCTCCATTTAAGGCTTCATTAGATCCAAACGTGAAAGCATGAAATGTGTGTATGTGTATATGTTTAAATAATAAAATCTTAGTACTTTATCCCTAAGCCAGTGTTTAAGAGTAAAAGAAAACAAGTGATTTTAAAAAAAGTCACAATTTTTATATCAGAATTTTCTCCATTCTTTCTTATTAAATTGTAGAGATTATGCCAATTAACTACTTTTTTTTCTTTTTAATTATATATTTGGCTTGACTAACTAGGCTTAATGTAACAAGAAGTTTGGAAGTTCTGCTCATCTTTCAAAGACACTAACAAACTCTTCATTAGACACATGATTATACACAATGTTTTATTCACTTGAACTAGCTTGGACATTCATAAGTATGATGCCAGCCATCATGGTTTTGCATCAAGGTTGGAAGGTCATTAGGGTGACATTCTGTGTCATAGCCGAAAGCTGGTCAATGTAGGTGGTTGCTGGCCGACCAGCCTGTCTTGCACCATGGCTAAGTGTTTAGAGCAGTAGATCATTCACAAGTTCTTGTTTTGCTCACCAGAAGTGTCCTGCAAAGCACATTCTGTTTTCACCTAAGATTGTAGAATAAAACCACAATATTTCTTATCTATAATAAGAAATACTAGGGTTTTAAGTTCTTTTAAACTTTTATTTATTTTAACATTGTTAATATTGGCTAGTGGAAAAAAAAAATTCATGCAAATATGAAACAATAGTTTATCAAGAACAGTGATAAAGCCATTTTATCTGAAGCAATACTAGGATAGCTTGCTAATCCTCCAGTGAGAAAAGCAAAAACAAAAAGATAAAACATTAGGGGAAGAAAAAAGTCAAAAGCTACTACAGTTATGAAGATAACCCAACATTATTGCTAATGCTGAGACAAAAAGGCGTAGAATGAAAAGGCTCTTACATTTAGATGCAATACTCTCAATATATTTATCCAACAAGGTCAATAATCGCTCTTCATGCCCTCATGTTGCTCTGGTCCAAGCCAGATCAAATAATGTTTGGAGATTGGCTCTAACTAATCTTCTCTATCTCATATATACTAAAATTTACAATACCATGTATACTGGAATGAATCATCTCCATTACCTTCATGTTCTGTTAGTAAAAAGGAAGTTACATTTGGACAGTGTCTTCCCAAGAACTGCTACTTCATGGAACAGACTCCCTAGTGAATGTCTACTTTTATATGGTTAAACAAGAGGATTTGATTTACTTAAGAGGCACAAAGTAAGGGTCCAGTTTAGTATTATACTAATATAGTAAAGCAAACCCACTTAAAATTTGGGAACTTTCAAAAACTAATACAGTCAAAGCATGTTTGGGGGACACATTAGTAACTAGAAGAAATTTGGAGGAAATAGCTCTAGCTAACCTTGAGTTATGAGATGTTGGGTGTGGGTGCAGTAATTTTACTAAGGTTTTCACTATATTCCATACATTCTCAAAATTTAGGAAGCATAGGTGCTAATTAAGTAACTGAAAGCCAGCATGTGTTTTGGAGACAAGTTTAGTAACACCCATTCACAATAAGAGTTTGTCTTATCCTACTTATCAATTACCTGTATTCTTGTTCTTATATCAGTTTTCAAATGTTGATGTCTATCCAAAATTCACATATTCCTAGTATACAATCACTACTGCTACCCATGAAAAATCTAGAGCAGCTACCAC